CCATCCTATCGAGTCGAAGGAACCCGCTCCTCCCCGCAACCGCTCACGGCTGGAGTCCCGCAGAGCTCCGTCCTCTCGCCGCTCCTATTTAGTTTAGTCGTCTACGATATTCCCCGGTCGCCGCCTATCCAGTTAGCTTTATTCGCCGACGACACGGCTGTTTACTATTCAAGTAGAAACAAGTCCCTAATCGCGAGAAAATCCAGGGCGCAGCCGTAGCCCTAGGACTGTGGTTCCGAAAATGGCGCGTAGACATCAACCTAGGGAATAGTACTGCGGTGCTATTTCAAAGGAGAAATTCCACACTACCCGAACACGAACTACATTCATCCCGAATTAGGAGGGGGAATCTCACAACCCCGATCGCCCTCTTCGGCCAACTCATACCCCGGGCCAGGAAGATCAAGTACTTGGGTGTCACCCTGGATGCATCCTTGACATTCCGCCCACATATAAAATCAGTCCGCGACCGTGCCGCGTTTATTCTCGGCAGACTCTACCCCATGATCTGTAAGCGGGGTAAAATGTCCCTTCGGAACAAGGTGACACTTTACAAAACTTGCATAATGCCTGTCATGACTTACGGGAGTGTGGCACACACATAGACACCGTCCAATCCCTACAATCTCGTTTTTTGCAGATTAGCCGTGGGAACTCCGTGGTTCATGAAGAACGTCGACTTACACGACGACTTGGACCTCGAGTCGATCCGAAAACACATGAAGTCAGCATCGGAACGTTACTTCGATAACGTTATCCGTCATCATAATCGCCTTATCGTTCCGATCCGGGAGTAGATTCATTCGCGAAGCAGCTGCTCTTGAGTTGTTAGGTCTCCTTCGGAGGCGCTCGGGCAGCTATTAGCAAATCTCACCTCTCCCTTTGGTTGAGCCTTTGCTCGCCCATCTGTTCTGGTGAAATTGTAAGGTCTCCGGGCCACCAGTAAACCTTCAGTCATTAAAAAAAACTATCATCCTGCCTACTTCTGCCACGAGTCATTATAACTTCACATGACACGAGGTGGGCGACGACCTTCAAGTTCTGATGACTATGGCTCGGTCATCTATTTAGTACAATAATAAATCGTGCTACCGTCCTGCGTATTTCAGTTCCGAAGCGATTTAATGCTACTGAAACTTAGAATAATACGTCAAGGCGAGGCATGCGATGCCTACATACACCGATTTACAAAACAAAAAACGCTAACGAGCAATTTTCACGAAAAAGTTTTCCTCAAATAATTTTATAATAAAATCAAGGAATAATCAGTAGTTGATGCAATCCATCGTCTTGTTATAAATCATTTGCGCGGCTATTATAAGGATAAGTAGGCTAGCATTATACAAAATATGATACTCCAACGTCATATCTCAAAGTGAACGATTATATGTATTCACGATGCCCAGACTACGGCCCGGTAACCAGTTTAACGTATTTGTTAAGATTTCGTTAATAATCAAATAGCTAAGTGTTTTTTCAACGAAATATTTCCATTGAATTACGTTATCGTTCGGAGATAGCAAAATCTGGCCCATTACAAGGGCTCGAGTGGGCAAAGGCGAACGCGCCGCCGCCGCACGCATTCTCCCAAAAAAATTCCAAGTCGAGTAACATAATATTTCCCAAGCAAGTTTATATTTATTAGCGAGAGTCCCGGCCGGCGCCGCGACATCTCTACTTCTCAGAATCGAACGTCGACGTGTCGGCTTAAAGCCGTTACATCTATGAAAAAACAATATTTATGCCGACGAAAAAATCGGGATACGAGTTGTATTTATCTCGGAACTGTGAGCTATGCACTTTTTGTTCGGGCCCTTGTTACAAGAATCTGCAGGTACCGCCCGGTGAGTGGAAAAATCCTAATTTGTTAATGACACCCTGGGCGTGGTCATCAATGCTTGTTAGCAGGAAATATTTAGGGGCGGCCCTCCATTACCGCAAACCTATCAAAAATAGCATGGTACTATAGATAAAATTACGTAAACATTTAAAGATAGCAAATGTATAAGTCTTTTTTTATAAAAGTACAAAACATGATGGTCATAGAATTGGTACAATTAAATTTTGTTGGGGCACCGTATCTCTCAAATCGCCTACGCGTTGTTCCCAACCTTCAGCCATCAATGCATTAAACGGCTTTTTCCGTTCAATTAATTCCTAAAGTCAGGTACCAAAACAAAAAATGTATAGCTACAGGCTGATCTGGGATGCCGACTCTTATTCATATATTGTACAATTTACATTGCTGACGTCCATGAGCTACGGTAATACCTCTACATCAGGTAGGCTGTATGCTCGTCAACTTACACGGGCAATAAATAAATAAAAATATTAGGAAAAAATAACTTATGGCCATACTAAATATATCTGTTACGCCATTTACGCATCTTTGAAACTTTTTGTACGTTTATTCGACATTATCGTTGATATCCATGAGTTCCACCGACAAAACCACCTCTTAATAACAGGCAAAACGTGAGCCTACTATCGATTTAAAACAGAAAATAATAATTAAAAAAATTAAACATCCTGTATAGTAATAGATCAGTAGAACGAAACAAGAAAACGCCACGTAAACCCGCCGTGTGAATGCACTTGACACCGTAATAAATGGAAGGCATCGACCAACAAAGGGCGGGGATCAAGGAATTTTGGCGCTTTGACAGCCGACGATAAGCCGATTGTGAGTTGTGTCTGGAAGTAATGTTTTTGTTATGAAATCCCAGAAGTAGCAGATTGATTTAATTGTATTCTCATTCAATTGTATCCGACATATTATTGGGACTTAAAAAAAGACAGTTGTGGTAGACGAAAAAGTTCTTTAGCGTAATCATCAATTAGGCTCAACGTAGAAAAATCTGTCGCGGATCATCTCCCAATTAAATTAATCTTAAGCAATGAATGAAATGTATTCAAATCTTAGCTGTATATTTTTTTTATTTTTGATGTTAATGCACTGTCGATTGCACCTATAATTGAGGTGACATCTGCCATGAACTTTTGTCAATTTGTCAATGTTTTGTATTGATGATCACTTTGTTGGTGCATCTTAATAAATAAATAAATAAATAAATANATCATCTCCCAATTAAATTAATCTTAAGCAATGAATGAAATGTATTCAAATCTTAGCTGTATATTTTTTTTATTTTTGATGTTAATGCACTGTCGATTGCACCTATAATTGAGGTGACATCTGCCATGAACTTTTGTCAATTTGTCAATGTTTTGTATTGATGATCACTTTGTTGGTGCATCTTAATAAATAAATAAATAAATAAATAGACATTTAACCTTCTACTCTGAATCGTTTCTTAAATCTTTTTCGGCAGTTATGCACTAACTTTTCTTTCAAATCAATTGCTGAACAGCGTGCTTTTTTTTTTGCTTTTCAATTTATCTTAACACTTTTTGATATTCGCACTAAATTGCTAGTTAGGTACTATCTCCGGAATCGTTTAGCGAAGTGTAAAATTAATATTAATTTCATCTTTCTTTCAGCAATTTAAGCTTATTTTATTAACCTATCAAACCGTTTTAAAGTTCTAAGCATAGGAAAATCTATACTCCTACTATACACGATAGATTCGAACGGGAATAGCATCCATCCGTAGGTTTCTAAGTACACAGTTTAACAACAATAGGAATTCACCTACCATTGCGGCTCGCCCACCTGTCCTAGTGAAACTGGAAAGGCCTCCGGGCCACCAGTAATCCTTCAATCCTAAAAAAAAAGAACTAATTTGATAGAGTGCATAAGCTTCGAATTATTATTTGATTTGACAAAATCGACTAGTTATCTAAGAAAAAAAATCACTAATTACATATATCATGTTTAATTTAGTATTTAGTTTTGACGACCGAGTTAAGGGGCTTTTTTTCAACGCCCTAGATAAGTCCAAAGAACGGGGCACCATTCTTGCTGAATAATTCGAAGTGAACCTTAATCCACAGTATCAGTCCGCTTAGTTCCACGCTAGATCTTCTAAACAGGGCGCGAACCCGTCCTCGATTCCGGGTAGGTACTTACAAAACAGCTGCTCTTGAAGTGTTAGGCCTCCTCTTAGAGCGCTTAAGCAGCTGTTAAAGCTTCCTGGCTAAAACCGTAAGTTTGCGTATCCGTCCTGGCTAAGCAGCAACGTTTTTAGACTAAACTCGATCTTGGTACCTCATAAATCTATGATCATTCCTAGCTTCTTCCTGCGCAGCGTTTCAATTAGCCAGTAGGCAATGTTAGGTAATGTTAGTTCCACTAGGCAGTGTGCATACAAGGGTGAATGAGTTGCCTAGAATTCAGTGGTCACTGGAGCCTCTTAAACATCCCAACGCAACTATCCACCTTGAGATATTAGAAGTCATCGTGGCCTAAAGGATAAGACGCCCGGTGTATACGTGTCGAGCGATGCAACGAACGTGTTCGAATCCCACAGGCGGGTACCAATCTTATAATGAAATACGTACTTAACAATTGTTCCCGATTTACTCCCACGGTTAAGGAATAACATCGTGTAATAAAAATCAAACCCGAAAAATTATGATTTGCGTACCTAATTATTGGTTGTAGAACATCTTGTGAGTCCGCACGGGTAGGTAAAACTTATAGTTTTACTTATTAATGCGGTTTATAGGAATACGAACGTGTTTTCAGACATATTATTTATTATACTTATTTTGCGGAAAAAATTGTTTTTTTTTAATGAACGGATGGCATTGATTTAAGGAGTTCCATGTCACAGGTTAAGGTTTTCAAGGCAACGGTGATGTCATCACCTTGAAAAGCGATGACAATTTCCAATTGCCAATTAATTATTTCTAAAAAACTAGAGTATAACCTGTAAGGATAACCTGTCAAAAACATATCAAAGTTACCTGACAGGAAAATTGGCATAGTTGCTGGGTTTGTTACTAAGTATCAAAATGTAGTCAAGGGCGAGCTTAGAAACAATAGTAAATAGGAAATAATTAAAACTACACGAGAAACGATTTTGAACAACTTTATTGTCATCCTGTCAAATGAATAACTCAGTCAGTGTCCTGTCCTGGTCCCAAAACCACGGGATTCTTTACAACTTAAGTAACGGTCACTATGAATCTGAACTGTCACTGCTCGAATACCCAGCTAATAATGAGAGCCCTGACGCTGGTTTATCTTTTGTGCTTTTCGTATTACTTTCAGTAGCATTATTACTCTTTGAAAGTGATTCTGTAGTGACTTTAGAGGTTTCAGCACTTTCTGGTTTTTTACTCTTCACGAGGTTCGCGAGAGCCGGTTTCGTTATTAATCCACCGACACTCCTATTCCAAGAATGTTTTTTTATACTATCTGACTTATTCGAAGTTTTTTGTGTTAAGCTTTCAATTCTAGAACATTTTGATGGTGGTTCATCTTCATCTATAACATCTTCGATTATTTCTTCGGCAACCACTTTCTTAGAGCAATTGTTGAATTTCACTGACCTGAAATTATAAAAAATATCGTATTTATTTTATTATTTATTGCTTATACGGGTAAATGAACTCATGCTCCACTATGTTATATGGTTACTGGAGACTATAAACATCACAATGTGAATACAGTGACACAATATGAGGTAGAATAGAATAGAAACTAACGGGGTAGTGGGCAAGAAAATAAAAAATATTTGTGTGTAATTTAATCATCCCCCTTTGCTAGCCCCCTCCCCCTTCCTAATCCCTCTTTCGCTAACATTAAAACTTTATTATTTAAAACTGTAATGTAATTTAGTATTTATATGTTTCAATAGGCATTAATGCAGTTTGGTGTTTTTTTTTTTTTTAAGATTTATTTTATATATTGTATGTTCCATTGCGATTATAGCATTATTTGTAAAACAGTCCTTCTTAATACCTAGAGAACCACATTTCCACATACCATGAAACGGTATGATTTGCCTTCCAATATTTGTTCTTAGAGCGTTCTGATGTATCCTTGTTAAAACAGGCTTTACAACAGTGGATTGGCTATGCCTCTATCACTGCTTGAGTGACAGTGATAGCTCTTTATTAAGCCTCCATATGCTTATCTGACATTGAAGACAAACCTATCCGATGATTTGCAAGTGAAGTAAATTGTCCCTTCGTCTAAGGTGACACTCTACAAAACTTTCATACGTCCGGTCATGACCTACACAAGTCTAGTGTTTGCTCATGTGGCTCGCACTGACTTGAAACCCCGTCAAATCATACAATCCCGTTTTTGCAGGATAGCCATCGGAGCTCCATGGTGCGTGAGAAATGTGGACCTCCACGATAACATGGACCTAGAGTCCTTCAGTAAATTACTAAAATCGGTATCAGTACGTCATTTCGAAAAAGCGGCACGACACGAGAACCCTCTCATCGTGGCCGCCGGTAACTACATTCCGCCGATCCTACGGACCGAATGATAAACAGTCGATGTCGCCCTAAGCACGTCATTTCTGATCCTCCCGATCCATTAACGGTGCTTTTAGGTACCCCAAGCAGCGGTCATCGTTCTCGTCGAACCCGTCGCTTACGACGAAGGGCTCGGCGAGTAAATTAACCCATAGACACAGCCCACTCATTGAGTTTCTCGTCGGATGTTCTCAGTGGGTCGCGTTTCCGATCCGGTGGTAGATTCTGCGAAGTACTGCTTTTGCTAGGGCCAGCTTTAAGAACCTCTCCGGTTTGAGTCCCGAGAGCTCACCTACACGCTAGGGTAACGCTAATATAGCCTCTCAAGACTATCAGCACAGGGAGGAAAAAAAAATTAGATAGGAGAAAAAGAAAACATGATATTTGTGAAGAGCCATATTGTTTGCTATTCATATTAGCATAATATGTAATTTATTCCCCTCTTCGGGAATCATCTATTGACATTGTCCTTTGTTTTGATGCTTGTGGTTACATTCAAAATAATTCTAATATATTATTATGTATCCCACATTGAAATCGTAAGAACAAACACCTTTAATTGTACTAAAATGTCTAACAATGTATAAGATTTGTCTTTTTCATTAGACATGTGTGTTTTCTCTACCATAATGCAAATTACATTTAGATCTTTTTAAACTGAATTATAAAAAAGAACAAATTTCAAATTAATAAAATAACTTATTGAGGTGCATTCAAACTTATATACAAGGTAATAAAATTACAAGATTTTTGAAAAATCTTGTAATTTTATTCTTATTATTAATGGAATGATGATAACTCACTTTATAAAATCATTATCTTCTTTCTCTTCTCTTGCCTTTCTTTCTTCAACTGTTTCTGGTTGATACTGTCTTAACATACCCTCATAGTCTACTGCTTGCTGTCTACGGTTTAATTCCTTTAATTCCTCAAGGTTTTCCAATTGTTCAATTTCTTGTCGTGATTGCTCCGTTCTGTATTCTGTAAAACAATTTTAAGAAATGTAAGAATATTATAGAAATGTATTTCAAACTATTTGCAACACATACCTCTTCATAACTCTTGCAGACAAACATATTATAAATCATTTTTAACTTAAAATTTTCACATTTAATATATTTCCTACAATTCGCAATGCCATCTATCACGATAGTGCAGCCGTGAAAACATTTTAGGATTTAATAATAGTGTTTAAAACATATCCTACATTCTAGAATTGCTTTAATTTTACAATATTTTGACTTTATGTAGATTAGTCGGTGGATTACTTAACGATTATTTAACATTTAGATGATATTGGATATCTTGTTTCATTGACTGTTTTGGATTAATGTTGACTATACTATTTATTTCATACTTCTATGATTATTTTTTTCAAGCAAATAATGATTACAAAATACTTCCTTAAGCCCACTAATGTTATAGACCAAGACCAATTAACATTTGAGCAGTCAGGCTAAACAAACAATTTAGCATTTTAGCAGTTTAAACAATTCTATTTTAGTTACTTTTACATTACAGTATTACAAATTAAAAATATCTTGCTCAGTCCATCTAAGCAATAAATAAAAAAAAGTTAGGGATGTCCAGTTTGTTTTTGTTGTTGTTAAGACAGGGGTTCCCACCTGAACTTATTTTGTCTACTGCCTACTTTGAGAATAAATTATTTTTTAGCGCCCTCATTTTTTATCTACTTAAAAACCACTATAGTGAGAGCTCAGTTGGTGCCTAAGAGTCCTCCTAGATGAAATTACAAATCGCCTCCCAAGCCTCTACACAACGCCCCCATTTTTTTCTGGGTCTCGTACCGCCCCCTTTTAAGTCTGCAAGCGCCCACAATGGGGTGTTATCGCCCACTTTGGGAAAGGCTACCTTCAAGACATGAGGTCAAATTTTCAATTGTACATTGCATCAGTCATCTACCTTTCAAACCAAAATCCAAAATATACAACTACTTTCTGGCCCAGGTATGTAAAACAAGTTGTAAAAGTGCAAAAAAAATTTGGTTTGTTTGATAAAAGGTTTCATTTCTTGCCAAGAAAGTATATCCACAAATCTATTTGAGAATCAAATAAACTAAAATACAGATTAATCATCACGGCAAGGCTATATTTATGTATCTACCTAATAGCTTCATAGGATTATTGGCTTCTTCTTCTTTTTGCTCTTCTTCTTCACGCTTGGCCTGTTCTTCAGCAAGTTTTAATGCCATAAAGTTCCTTGTAGCACCAGCTTCTATCTCATAATCGGTATTCTTTGGATCTGTTTTGAATGATATTTCTTGCAAGCAACGAGTACACTGAAATAAAATGATATTTAAAAATTAAACCAGGTCTTAAAGAATAAGCTAGAGTGGTACAATCAAATAAACACAATTCTTCTATAAAAAAAAAAAACAGATTTCCGTATTCTCTTGAAATAGTCATTAAATTATTTTGAAAGTAACTTTAATTCACATCATATTATGGCAATGGTAGCCAGTATCCATCAAGATTGGTATAATACAACAGGCAAAACAAAGCTACTACCTTCAAGTATAAACTATATTTAAACCTATTTTGAGAACTAATATTCAAATGTACAATACTGAGTCAATTCTACCAGATTGAAACACGTTGCAAAAATGGTTTGTGGAAACACATTGTGAACAATGCAGATACCTATTTTGTCTTTAAAGACCTAAAAAGGCATAGAGTGTAAAACAATTATGTAATTAGAAGTATTCACTTATCAGATTTGCAAATTAGCAATTCTAGGAATATAGCCTTGGCGATATCTTATGTGAAGGTGGAAGGACTCACATTGTGATGTCTACATGCTTTAGTCACTATTTAATGCCCATAAGGCTGCTTATGCACCCATATGTGTAATAAAATGATGCTACTTAACATATATGCTACCATAGAACATTTATATATATATATTTTTAATATTATGGAAAATTCACATTAGTACAGAATTAAGTTGTTTAACTCATTTATTAGTTTTGTTCATTGCCCTACTTACTTTTATATAGAACCTATATATCCTAATACCGAGGTAATCTTCATTCTCCACGTCCTCTTTCCTAGCATTGAACTTTTTGCCTTTATAAATATATTCACCGCATGTAGCACATCGCATGTTAAATGGAGCCATAAGTCGGACTGTGTATTGACGATTTTTCGCTAGTTTCATACGAGGTATCTTCGAAGGATCGAAATCCGGTGGATAATATTTCTGAAACATTGCATGGTGCAGGTTTATACATATATCATTTAAATTGTTACAATATCACCCGCATACAAACCAAGAAACCATTACTTACATTTAAAACCTTTCGTTCCGACATTTTTACGAAACAATCAAATTAAATGATTTTATTCACAAAATAATGTTATTTCCAATAAAGAGCACTTAGTTATTTATCTGTATTTGACGTTTATAATATTTGACACTCATGACAATATTTTAAACTATTTAACGGCCTGGATCTTTGGCCTTTTAAGCCAAGTCATCAAAAAAAAAAATCATTCGTCGTATCTACGGATTCTCCATAGGAAATAAAATAGATTAGAATTGAATGATATGATATATTTTTTTATTGCTTAGTTGGGTGGACGAGCTCACAGCGCACCTGGTATTAAGTGGTTACCGGAGCCCATAGACATCTAGAACGTAAATACTGCCACCTACCAGGAGATAGGAGTTCTGAGATCTGTTTTTACTGTATAACGGTTGCCCCATCCTTCAAACCGAAGCGCATTACTGCTTCACGGCAGTAGGCGGGGCGGTGGTACAACCCGTGCGGCCTTACAAGACGTCATACCGCCAATAATCACGCAAATTATAATTTTGCAGGTTTCATTTTTCCTTCACCGTGAAAGTCAAACGTGAACCGTTGAATGACGACCGAACGAACACCGTTGCATCGCTAGATACGAATACACCGGACTTCTTATCCTTTAGGCCACGACGACGAATATGAAATAATTGGTACCATTATCGAAGCAGTCCAGCTTAGTATCGTCATGCGATGGTATGGGCATGTTAAATGGTACATGTCGACACGAAGACGAATAGTGACAATTTAAATCTTAACGTTTGCAGCATTGAAGGATGATTTGTTAACAGTAAAACTGGAGCTATTAAAAATATACCTGATGGCGGACAATACCCGCTGTTACGAAATTCCACCCTTCTCAAAAAAAGGTACGTATTGTACGCAGTCGAGCGTAAACCGCCAGTCCGGTCAGATCTTTAGAATATCTTAAAGGAAATAAACTGCTACAGATTTATAAGTTTGTTTTCTACTTCGCCAAATACAAGTGACGAACGACGATGATGATGCCATGCCCATACATATGATAAAATACAATTTGTTCTGTTCATTACAATTTAACAGTTGCTCTTTATTAGGTCTCTATAAAATTATCGCTTAGTACACAGAAATCACAGTCATTTTTCTCAAAATAATTAATTCAAATCAAAATATATTTAATATTTTATTTCTATCAATCCAATTATGTACCAATGGCACCGATTAAAATATTCATGTCGGAAGCGTTCAACTAAAATAACAAGTCGTGTGTTCGTTGACAGTGTTCACTTTGTCTCCGTTACTATTATTGTGAGCCGTTTGCGTGGCATTAAAAGTTACGTCAACCGTAACCATAGATAGATTATAATAGCTTATTATTTATACCGTTTACCGTAACTAATTTAATGATCTGTAGTCCTTAAATACTCGTATTTTTATTGTATTTATACAAAATTATGTACGGTAGTGAAAACAAAACAATTAATAAACATATGACTAAACTTAAAAATAGAATCATATATGTATAGATTTTCTTTTAAATAAAATTCATTTCAATTTACAATTTATTACCATTCTTCGTCAAGTACCAGTCATACAATTCAAATGCGTAACGGCCACTTCATAGAGTAAAGACCTCTTTTTAATGAACAAAAACAAACATCTATATTTTTCACCTTCTTTAATTTGATTTTAAGACACACACAAAAATATATTTCCAACCCTTCACTAAACTTCACAGTATTTTTAGAAGAATAAAAATTTTCTGAAAATAAAAGAATGAATATTTTTATTACTTATTGCTGAATGCGCAGTAATTAAGTACTTAATAACATATTAAATATTAAAATAATTTCAAATAAAGTTAGCTACCGTTCTTTTCTATTCAGTCCAGCAGCCAGCTCATGTTCGAGTGCAGCTATTTTCTCCTCGTGACGTGTTCGCTGTGCTTGAGCACGACGTTGTTGCTCTTCCAGAGCCAACACAATCTTCTCCAATCGATGTATCTGTTGTTGTTTATTCTCCAGCGTAGCAAATAACTCTTGAATTTCATCGGCTTTTGCTGCTATCTGCTTATTCACCTTGAGAGAACAGTCAACATATATTTAGCTAAATAAAAGGTACCTGCAGATGATATCACAGTTCAAGCCTATCAAGTGTTTTTGTCATTAAATCTTTATATTTATTGTTAAAAAAATAAGAAAAAAACAAACAAAAACGTCTCACTTCATCTACAATCCTCATTCGATGCTCAAGGTCTTGTTGCAAAGCGGCAAGTTCACGACTCTGTTCCGTTTCTTTGTTCTTGAGTACATTGATTAGTTCCTCACGAATCTATGAGACGTCAAGTTAAACAATCGTCGAGTTTTTAGAAATACAAAAGTTCAAGTGCGTTTCCTTCTTTTAAAGAGAGCAAAATAGTACCTACACTACTTAGGTATAAGTACCTCTGAATTATCAATTAAACACCCATTGATCCTCATTAATATAAATAGGCACCACACGTTTATTTACACATTTTTAGAAAAAAATTAATAGCAACTCAGCAGAGTAGCAAAGACCGAAAGTGTGGCCAAGCGACTCTTTAGACTTTCAGAATGATCTTTCTATGGACATACTCGTGAATTTCGAGAACAATAATTTATAATTGATCAAAATCATCACTTTAACAGAAAATAACCTTTATAACTCTTGCCTGTCCTCGTGAATTTTTGTCTTGCTGTTCGAGTTCCTGGTCTTTCTTGGCGAGAATTTCAGACAACTCCTCATTACGATGAACCACATCGAGAAGTTTCATTTTTAAATCCATAATCTGTGGAAAAGTTACTTTTGTAACGACACGGTTCGTAACAGCCCGTTCGTAAAACGTTAAACCCTCCCCTGCACTCTCGACCGAGGTCCCGATCCCCGCCCAAGACAAAAGCCGAGTAATGTAGAGGAGATTCCACAGTCAATACTACAACTAGGCATAGAGCTCTCCCAAAGACGGTCAGCCGGGGTGGTTTCGCTGTGTCCCGGAATACTCGGGTAAATCAAATCCAGTCGAGTTGGAACGCGATACACAGCGATCCGGGCGCTTTTCCGTAAGAGTTCCATAAAGCTACTGTCATGCAGCGTGTCGCGCGGCTTCGTCCTCTCCAGTGATAATGACTTAATAACTAAGTAGCTCCATCTAGCTTTCAAATCAGAAATGCTATGGTACCGTTTGATCAAAAAAAAATCATCAGCTAATCTTGTTGTTACTCTAAAAAAATAAGCCAATGGTCTAATACAAACTTCTTGTTGTAAATCCTGATAGCTTATGCCGTTGGGCGATTCTTGACAGTTGGCGATTGTCCTATTATGTGCTTGCAAATCACGGACGTATTGCTCATACTGTATAACTTTTTGTTCACTAAAAATTAAATAGGTAAATAGATTTTTAAATTTATAGTAAATTGAAAAGCTTATTGTACAATATATCGATTTGATGAACACACAACAACTTTTTGACAATGTCGTCACGGTCTCAAGGATTTGAAGCCCTGACTCCAAGCGATGCGACTTACGCCAAAGCTCACATTCTACAGATGTCTATTTTTTGTACGAAAATACCATTTGGATTTATAATACGTGATTTAATACGAGATTTGATTTGAATCTGCGTTATTATTTACCCGTTTCAAAGTGTACTGTAAGCGCGCATGCAGAGGTATGCTTGCCTATTTCTACCACAAAACAGTTATGATTTTCAGTTTGAAGGGTAGGACAGCCTTCATAAAATGCAATTGAAACTTTGACCTCATATCACGTCGTGATTCTACAGGTTCGTTCACACAACTAAGTTAAAGAATTTTACATTGAATTGTTATTTACTTTAATTTTATGTTCTTTATGAGTTCTCTGGTTTGTATTTGCATCTTTCCAATGATTTCTTCTTTATTTAAAAGTTCAGCAGCCAGCTTCTGTTGAATCCCTATTTTGTTTTCGGACTCCTGAAATTTATAATAATGCTATTGCATTTGTAAAGTAATTTATCTATTAAAAAGCTTTAACGTAATCACCTCTGAATTGTAAAAAAATGTTCAGGAATATGAAACTGGAAAAAAAAACCTAAAATTACAATTTTCTTTTTCAACAATGTATCATTATAAAAGATAATTACTGTGATTTTTGTAAGCGTTTCCAAAAATCGAACTTTCTCTCTTTTACAAGTCGTTACTTCATCTTCAGTCACTCGCAATGTTTCTTTAGTAGCTTGCAATTCTGCCCACAGATCTATTTCTCTTTCGGTCGGCAGATCTATTAACCAAACTTTACATTACTTTACAAAATTAATGAATTTTACTAAATTACTGAAACTATTGAATTTAACTGTTTTAACGTTTAAAGAATAACGTTTTCCCCTAAATGCGATCTACAGTATAATAGCAGTCTACCTGGATTCGGTTTACTCTTCTCTAGTTCAATTATCTTAGCTTGTAACTCTTCGATAGCATTTCTACTATTTTGAAGCTCAGTCTCCGTCCTTTCTTTCAGCTCAATTTCTCTTTTAGTAATTTCGCATTGCTCTTGCAATGCACGTTTTGTTTGTTTAAGATCTTCCTCTAACTGCTGTATAGCGCTTTTGTGCTGAACTGTTAGTTTTTCAATTTGCTGTTTACATTCAAGTACTCTGTAATTATTACAAGTCATAATGGAATCTTTCAAATCAAACAACATTCAAATAGGTCTAATTTATTTACCAAGAAGTTTGGCTAAGAGAAATATAGAGAGAATGCATGTGTGAGCATCGCCGACGGCGAAGGAACACCCTCGCCAATCTGCCGCTATGTGGTGGCGGAATGTGGGTAGTTCAACGCTGCTCTTCGCCGACAATCCCATTTCCGAATCGATCGTTTAGATGAATCATTGATGAAAGGAATTCTAAATTAAAATCCACATAAATTTCTTAGCCCCAACGCGAGGTGAGATAGTGATTCAACTTCTCATCTTGAAATAGTTTGTATAGCAACAGCAGTAATTATCATTTAACATTTTGAGTGTCGCGTATGTATTAGACTTCGACGACATGCCAAATCTTGCATATTGAAAATCTTATTTTTATTTTGTTTGTGTCATACGAAACTTACTCAGCTTGTAGAGAATCCCGTTGCTGAATTAATTGAGAGGTTGTCACTTCGCCAGTTTTTAACGATTCTCTCAACTTCCGAGCACGAGCTTCTAATTGCACTTCCTTCTGACGACTCTGCACAATAACCAAAATTTGTCATCCACTTTTTATTTTTTATTTTATTGCTTAGATGGGTGGACGAGCCCACAGCCCGCTCAGTGCCCAGTGATTACCCATTAGCCCATAAACATCTATAAATGCGCCACCCACCCTGAGTTATAAGTTCTAAGATCTCAGTATAGTTATAACGGCTGCCCCAGCCTTCAAACCGAAACGTATTACTGCTTCACGGCAGAAATAGGCAGGGTGGTGTACCTACCCGCGCGGACTCACAAGAGGTCCTACCACCAGTAAAATAGCACCTTGTGCTTATAACTTTTCAAGCGAAGACTGAACGTATAAAAACCAGTTCCCAATATCAAAAAACGCTCAGTAAAAGTGGAACAATCTCAAAAAGATAATAGAATATATATTGGAAAAAAATGTAACTCAAACATTTGCCCATAGGTCATATTTTACATTACCGGTTCACCAAATATATTATATATCTACTATTTTTAGCCTACAGATGTCCACTGTTGGAAATAGGCCTCCCTCAAGCCTCACCACAACGACGGGTCTTACGCTGCCTGCATCCAGCGGAGTCACGCGAACCTCAATAGGTAGTCCGTCCATCTTGTGGAAGGCCGTAGTGTTCGTGGGTTGTAATAATCGCCACACTTGGCATGCGGGTTGTCATAATCGCCACAATTAGCACGCGGATTAACCATCGCAGTATGTTTTTATGATACGCAGAGAACGCTGCTGCCCATTCTCTGGAAAATCTATTGGTCGCCTCTTACGACACCCGCGGAAGAAGAAGGTGAGGTATTCTTTTTCGAAGCCGTTACCACACAGCCATATCAAATATAGACGAACTAAAACGCATCTATTTGCGCTTAGCTTAGCAATTGAATATCGTGAAGCATGACGGCGGCCTACTGCTATTAAAATCTTAAAATTAAATCTACTAAATGTTTTTAAATGTTTGCTAATTGTTTCAATATTCACTGTAAAAATAAAGTAGTTTTTTTATTTTTTTTATTGCTTAGATGGGTGGACGAGCTCACAGCCCACCTGGTGTTAAGTGGTTACTGGAGCCCATAGACATCCACAACGTAAATGCGCCACCCACCTTGAGATATAAGTTCTAAGGTCTCAAGTAAGTTACAACGGCTGCCCCACCCTTGAAACCGAAACGCATTACTGCTTCACGGCAGAAATAGGCAGGGTGGTGGTACCTACCCGCGCGGACTCACAAGAGATCCTACCTACCACCAGTAATTACGCAAATTATAATTTTGCGGGTTTCATTTTTATTACACGATGTTATTCCTTCACCGTGGAAATCAATCGTGAACATTTGTTGAGTACGTATTTCATTAGAAAAATTGGTACCCGCCTGAGATTCGAACATCCGGTGCATCGCTCAACACGAATGCACCGGACGTCTTATCCGTTAGGCCACGACGACTTCACAAAAAGACACCGGATTACGGTCACCGGACCGGCTGATTGAAAATTTACTTTCGTTCGAGCCACCTGTCGTATGCAATGCCTAAGAAATGCTTGCACAGCAGACTAAAATATACGTATTTAAAAAAAATAATAATAATTGATTGATTTGTTGTTTTTCATTTAAATGTTTTCACCACGTCCAAGTGACGATGACGTCAATTCTGATGATGACATATTGTTTAAAATAACAGACGGCACAAAGTATGAATACAATAAAATAAATAAATTAAATGGGCTTTCTTCCCATTGTCATTTTCATTGATTTAATGGCTGTGACTTTCAAAAGGAATAAATGAAACTATAACCTATCATTTCATATGGCTGCTTAATCGTAAGAAAAAAACCAACAGTATTCGAATGTATTGCGATGTATTGCTGTACCTGGTCCTCTAGCATTTTCACCGTACCAGTGAGACTCGTGATGCTCGCCTCTGCTTCGCGTAATTGCTTATCCATTTTTGCGACACGATTACGCGTCTGCCTGAGCTGGGATTCAGTCGTAGTTAATTTTTCTTTTATTGCTAATTTCGCTGTTCTTTCTTCGTCTAACTCGTGCCGCATTTCCTAAAATTTTATTACGGTACATTCTTTTAAAAGACTCAAAAGAGCCGATGTCCTGTCCTACTAAGGCGAAACGGAGTAATGGCTCTACTTCTAACCTGAACCTCTTGCGACTCGCCTTATTATATATCTAGTCTTGATGAGTGATCGTAGGACAAAGAGTAAAAAGAAAATAGAAACTGTCCTGTTTTGTAGCAGTGCCTGTCGGTTCATGACGTCAATATCAAAGAATGTTACGAGTCGTTGGCACGCTAAGGTTTTGACATTAGTACATGGTTTTATTGGATCTTCAATCGACTATTTACTATATTTATTTTACGGCATCGTATTGGCTGTGCTCTTGGTATTGTTAGTCAATGAGCGACTCTGATCACTCACCATGAGGTGAATTATCACAGTCTCATCTTCTTAGGTCTCAGTATACTCAGTATACAACAGCTACCCCACCCTTCAAACCGCAACGCATTACTGTTTCACAGCAGAAATAGGCAGTTTGGTGGTATCTACCCGTCCGGACACACAAGACGCCATACCACGAGTATTAAATTAAGAGAGAGAGAGAGTTTAAAATTCTTCTTCTTCTTCTTCTTCTTCTTTGTCGCTTCCTCATTAATCGAGGAAGATTGCCAACCAGGTGGACGGACATTGTCAAGGAGGCCACAAACACCAGCGTCCCGAGCGCCATTAAGCAGGCCGAATGCAGACAACATTGGAGGAAGCCAGTGCAAAAACTGGACTAAGGTGGTCACGACCCTCAGTAATGAGTTCAAATTAAATACGTTTAAATTATATATTTGCTTGGTTACCTCAAGAGCTTTAGTATTTTCAGATTCAGAACGTAATTCACGAATCTCGTCGATCATAACGTTACGAGTTTCAACATCCTGTCGTAGTTTCGCAACTTCCCTGACCAGGGCCTCACCCACAGCTATCAGGGTTCTTCGTTCGTGGCACGCTCGCCTTATTAAAAGAAGATAAAGTACAATGGTAAAAATTAATTTAATGGCCATTTATTTAAGCTCGCTCAACGATCGAAATTCGACTATAATTACTGACACCTCAAGATTTCTATTAATTTTATCTTTAAATTAAATTACATTTTCTCATTTGCTATTGACGTTTCGGGGAAAAAACAAGGGGAAAAACCCTTCTTGGTTAGCGCTTAGCGGTTTTTTTCTGTTCAGATTTTTTTTTTCTTAATTAATGTTATTGTTAGCACTAAATTAAAATTACTTTTAGGGTTCTTTGTTTTATTTTTTATTGCTTAGATGGGTGGACGAGCTCACAGCCAACCTGGTGTTAAGTTGTTACTGGAGCCCATAGACATCAACAACGTAAATGCGCCACCCACCATGAGATATAAGTTATATACAGTTACAACAACTGCCCCACTCTTCAAACCGAAACGCATTACTGCTTCACGGCAGAATTAGGCAGGGTGGTGGTACCTACCCGCGCGGACTCACAAGAGGTCTTACCACCAGTTTCGAACATAACGACAAAACACGGAGTTAAATCGTAAAAGTAGTTTTAATGAAGTCTTATGTCTCTCGAGAAATACGAAAATACGATAACACTAAAGTTCGGTAATAACTAATAAAGCTCTAATAAGCTAATTAACTAATAAAGTTAATAAATAATAAAGTTCGGTACATAATAACGTTAATACCAAATAAAAACAATAAATCGGAAAATATGGTATTGAAAAGTTTTGAGTCTAAAACAAAGTAGGTATTTAAAAACGTAGATAAACCTATATAGCTATTCATGTAACATACTTTGACAGATCAGTTACTGTGTTGACCGCATCTTCGGCTTGAGTTTTCAATTCTCGTAGTGTACCACAAAGTTCAAATCCTTGATCGTTATACCGTGATAAATGTTCCAAAATATCACCGTCTGTTTGATCCTGGTTCACAGTAAGATTAGTTTTTGGATATTTAATTATATTTTCTGTAGATATTCATTTAATTTTACAACAGTTAATGTAAAGTCACTAACCAGATTTTCAAACAAATTTTTGACCCAATCTATAACTTCTTGACGCGCAGCAAAAGCCTTATGACATAAGTTTGTAAAACAGTCTGACACATTCATAACTTTGCTATTCAATTTTTCTAAGGCACATTCATCTGTAACAAAAACAAGTTGGTTTTGTTTTCATTAAATAATGGAATCGCATATTTTAAAGGGATTCATTCATGAATCGAAACGTAAATTTTTTGCGAGATACTAAATCTACTTTTTAGTTCGGCATGACCTGACTTAGCACTTGCCATAAAAAACAATGTGGATAAAAACATTATAAGCAAATCGTTATACTAAATGTAACTAACCAATAGGCATAGTTTCATCTAGAAGTTCCAACGCATTTTCGGGAGTTGAAGATGCAATAGCATCACGATATAATTGTGCAACTTCCTGTGCAGTCCAATCAGCTACATTAAAAAGGATAAGCTCTTGTGGTAGAAACCCTTCGCCGCATGCCGATATGCCTTCATTGTTTAAACGCTCATATAGAGATTTTAAGTTTTGGAACACTTCCAAAACAGCTTGCTAGAAATTCAAGATTCAAATTTGTTATAAAATTAGCTGCGTTAACATAAAAGATTTAGGTGGTTGTGCTTTTTTTGGAAACTATAAGCTATTTTTAGCAGTGGTACCACTTTTGTACTTCGGCCACATCGCTCGTAATAACTTAGGGAAGCTGATGGTAGTTGTTCAGGTTGACAGGAGAAGATCGCGCGGACGCTTACCTACCCGCTGGTCTGATTTGGTAAAGACGCTCACCGGCCTGCCAATAACCGAGGCTATAAAGACCGCCGAGAACAGGAAGACGTAGGAAAGCATTGTGCATCGAGTGGTCCACATTTCAAATTAGACACGACCTTCACCAATGAAGAGACCGACTCAGAAGAAGAAAACCACTTTTGCAATGTTCCCACAGCTATTTACCTTTCCGCTCGCCGAATTTCACATAGCAATAGGCTTCAAATAAAAAAAATACTCGGACAGACAATTGAGTATGGCTAACGTATCGTTTTCGCATGGCGCAATATGAACTCATAGGAACATCCGCAAAAAAAAGCGAAAGAAAGTGTGTGACCTAACATCATTTTAAAATTAATGAATCATTAATTACAGACCTGTTTTAAATCCAAATCCTTTTTCATGCTATTAAACTGTTTATGTTTGGAAACAAAAGTAGACTTAATCTCATCTAATTGTCTGGTATTGCTTAACCGACTAGCCTGTGTGACAGGAGAACTTTGTCGTGATTTTTCAATTGTTGTTTGAATAGGCGTTTTTGGCCTGACAGGCGTTGTTGGTCTCCGAGGTGTATTCGGTCGACTCGACGATTGCTGGAGGAGCGATGGTGTCGTTGGACGACTTAATGGTCTTGGCGTTTGTGGCCGACTGCCTTGTAAAGTTTTAGGAGTTTGTGGGCGGCTATTTGGCGCAGATTTTGGTACAGGTTCACAATCTGTAACGAATCGAAAAACGATTAAAAATTGAATACTTTTAAACGTAAAACATTTTATCAGTCAAACTAACCCAAAGAATTTTCTTTATTGTCAGATTCAAGAGCGGTTTGTTCGTTTTTCAATTCTATTTCTTCTTCAGAATTTACCGTAACCATTTGTTCAATAACAAATGACTCAGTATGCTGTGGCATCGATTCCGTAGTTGACTAAATAAATAAAAGTACTACAGTAATAAGGAGTCACAGTTTTAATGTAGTTATAGGTGGTGTTCACTCCCCTACTGACGTTATACTTATTGGTAGGTACTTATTGGAGCCATAAAACGGTAATGTATTCATAACTTAAGAATAGCCGATATCTCAATGCAAATTAGACGTCTTCTTCAGTCTCGAAGTGGATAGAAACATTTACCTTCTGTTTATGAGCTCCATGGATTCTATGACTGCCGTAACAGGAGCTCTACCAATGCAAACAAGAGTTGATATTAAACTTACCCGGTCTAATTCTGGCTGTATCGGTTCAATGTAACATTCATTTTGAACCTAAAACATAATATCAATAATATATATATAAGACTATAATAATTGCAATCGCAATCAACTTTTAAATTCACATTCAAACCTTCATATCTGATATTGATTCGATTTTATGCGTAACATGCTCCGTAATAGCTTTTCCAGTCTGTAAGCAATAATGAACTTATTTATTGAATTGTGTTATTGGTTTAAAGAAGTAAACCTCGCTTGAAAATGAAATAAACTCTACCCTCGAAGGCACCGGCGACGGTGGAGCACGATTTGGTGATTGTTTTTGGGTCAACGATAGATTTCGATTCGTAGCATTCCGGGCGGCGCGTGCAGCTGACGCCGCGGTCGGACGAGGGAGGATCCGTGGACCGTCTGTTGGAGAATTAATACAAACTAGATGATGACCGAACTTTGCTCGGTTTTTTTTTAAAACGCCCTCTTGTTGTGTCTTTAAAGCTGTTAGTTGCCCTCAATTAAGAAAAATAGTATTATTATTCGCCAATAGATGTCGGGAAGAGTTGATTATTGAAAACACGAATAAAACAACATTTTCTGAAAATAAATCGCAGCTAGATCGATTTATCGCCCCCGAAATCCCCTGTATACCTACTAAATTTTATGAAAATCGTTGGAGCCGTTTCCGAGATTCAGATTATATATAGGTGTATTAATATACAAGAATTGCTCGTTTAAAGGTATAAGATAAACTATTAAGCTAAATAAAGTTCTTTTTACTATGAAATTTAACACAGCAACAAGCATAGTGTGTTATAAGAGATTGCTGTACATGCCTGTAACTGGCTTACATACCAGTACTTAATTTGATACATGTTAATTTTAAGCTTGAATGTTTTGTGTGTATTGCTGTTGGTGTGTCTAAATAAATAAATAAACTAAATTTGCTATAAAACCGGACTTACTTGATTTTGTTCTAGAGACTCTGCTGGTGTTGTCCATTTTGATTTAATATATTTAAAAAAAAAACGTGTATAATTTAGTTTCTTTCAATATCAATATTTCTACATAATCCTCGAAAATTATAACGATAACGTCAAAATGAGTTACCTAATTTGAAACGTTTGACATTATTGTTTTAAGAAACTAGTTATGTGATTATTAAGATACAGAAACTTTTCTTTAAATTTCGTATTGAATTCTTCTTTTTTGGATATTTTTGGTGTGTCTACAAAGAAATAAAAATGATATAAAACCATCAAATTTGTTTTGACACAAACGACGCATGTTGAAATTGTTCCTTTTATATTAAGGATCCTGAAATTCTAGTTTTAGCATGTTTTATTTATTCAAAAAAAACTGCTCGTAGTTATAAATTTTAGTAAATACATAATGCGATTATTTCGATGATTATGTCACTCATTGTGCCTGATGAACCAAAAATAGAGGGTGATAAAAGTTAATTCTTTAAAAAAACGTACTCAAGTTAAATAAAAATGTGTCATAGTTTATTATATATAATTATTCATAATTGATTTCGTGCGAAAAATTAAAATCTTTGAATAGTTTGAAAATATACATTAGTAAAATGTAATTGAAATTATTTAATTACTGAACAATGTGTACAACCAGTCACCATTTCTTTTCAGAAATTATCACCGCTGCAAGACAACAGACAACCAAATGTAAAATCCCATTAATATCCACATCTGGAAATCAAAGAACGAAACCTATGAATAACATTGAAAATACGATCGTGACTAATGTATCATTCTTGTTTTAATCGATTTTTTTCCTTAGCGTCAAGGATTTTGGATCTATTTTTAATTGAATGTAATTCTAATTTTAGTCTCGTCCTCGATCAACTAATCGAACAAGAGATCAGGGCATGGTTCCTGGAAGGACACTACATACTATTCCCATGCTAAGAATACGACCAGAGCGTGAAAAATTATTGCCAGCACTGAAGGTAAACCTTGTTTCGAAATTTGATTATTCTATTCTATTACTCGTAGTAAGCCTAGTTCTGAAATTTGATTATTCTATTTTATTACTCGTAGTAAGCCTTGTTCTGAAATTTGATTATTCTATTCTATTACTCGTAGTAAGCCTAGTTCTGAAATTTGATTATTCTATTCTATTACTCGTAGTAAGCCTAGTTCTGAAATTTGATTATTCTATTCTATTACTCGTAGTAAGCCTTGTTCTGAAATTTGATTATTCTATTCTATTACTCGTAGTAAGCCTTGTTCTGAAATTTGATTATTCTATTCTATTACTCGTAGTAGGCCTTGTTCTGAAATTTGATTATTCTATTCTATTACTCGTAGTAGGCCTTGTTCTGAAATTTGATTATTCTATTCTATTACTCGTAGTAGGCCTTGTTCTGAAATTTGATTATTCAATTCTATTACTCGTAGTAAGCCTTGTTCTGAAATTTGATTATTCTATTCTATTACTCGTAGTAAGCCTTGTTCTGAAATTTGATTATTCAATTCCATTACTCATAGTAAACCTTGTTCTGAAATTTGATTATTCTATTCTATTACTCGTAGTAGGCCTTGTTCTGAAATTTGATTATTCTATTTTATTACTCGTAGTAAGCCTTGTTCTGAAATTTGATTATTCTATTCTATTACTCGTAGTAAGCCTAGTTCTGAAATTTGATTATTCTATTCTATTACTCGTAGTAAGCCTTGTTCTGAAATTTGATTATTCTATTCTATTACTCGTAGTAAGCCTAGTTCTGAAATTTGATTATTCTATTCTATTACTCGTAGTAAGCCTTGTTCTGAAATTTGATTATTCTATTCTATTACTCGTAGTAAGCCTTGTTCTGAAATTTGATTATTCTATTCTATTACTCGTAGTAAGCCTTGTTCTGAAATTTGATTATTCTATTCTATTACTCGTAGTAAGCCTTGTTCTGAAATTTGATTATTCTATTCTATTACTCGTAGTAAGCCTTGTTCTGAAATTTGATTATTCTATTCTATTACTCGTAGTAAGCCTTGTTCTGAAATTTGATTATTCTATTCTATTACTCGTAGTAAGCCTTGTTCTGAAATTTGATTATTCTATTCTATTACTCGTAGTAAGCCTTGTTCTGAAATTTGATTATTCTATTCTATTACTCGTAGTAAGCCTTGTTCTGAAATTTGATTATTCTATTCTATTACTCATAGTAAGCCTTGTTCTGAAATTTGATTATTCTATTCTATTACTCGTAGTAAGCCTTGTTCTGAAATTTGATTATTCTATTCTATTACTCATAGTAAGCCTTGTTCTGAAATTTGATTATTCTATTCTATTACTCGTAGTAAGCCTTGTTCTGAAATTTGATTATTCTATTCTATTACTGGTATATGTAAAAATTAATATTTGCTCGTTGCTTGTTTGTTCGTTCTGTTGTGTGTGTTCACATTTCATTTGTCTAATTGAATTCAAATTGTACAATTCTTAGTAGTGCGCTTCAAGATTCAAAATCGTTTAACAGCTTTTGTACAATAATTAGCTCGGGAATCGTTAGTAGCTTCATTCGCGAAGCAGCTACTCTTAAGTTGTTAGATCTCCTTTGGAGGCGCTGGGATAACTGTTAGTAAATCCCACTCCTCCTGGCTCAGCCCTTGCTCACCCACCTGCCCTGGTAAAACTGGAAAGGCCTCCGGGCCACAAGTAATCTCTCAAACAAAAAAAAACATTTAAGTGCACAATGGTGGATATAATCATTTATATGTCCGGACTGAGCGAAATGACTCAAAATCGTTCTACTTTGTTGGCATCGGGAAGCGATATAAAATTAGCGATTAATATATTTTCACAATTTCTCCAACACTATATTTCGTTTTACCATTGTCCTTGCAAAGGTGACGCTTTACCATTAAATGAAAACGTGAAAATTTTACACATGCGTCATGATGTTTATAAGCAAAATACCCACATAAGATAGATGGATTGAACTTCCTTTGACCACAAGTTATTATTCCAACCCTATCGACTGCGATTATGGAAAGAAAACCGTTACTCAAACGGATCCGTCTATTTTCATTTCCTTAATTATTTTAATGCTTACCAGATCTGGTATTGTCCTTAAATTTTTCAAAACAATGATTAATTACCTGGTGTATTCTCTCAATCCTCAGAGACCTTCTACGATACCTAAGCGGGTGACGAACGAAAATAAATCAGGACGTTCGGTTATAACTGTTCCAGTTCCTCAGGTTTTTATCTTTTTTTATAAAATTATTGATTTCTCTTTTAAATATTTAAAACCGTTCTCAATTTTCATTCTGACTACAGAGGAATTCTTCAAAATCAAATCCATTAAGATTCCTTGGACTCCCGACACAGGTGACATTTAATTTACTATTTTAAATTATGAGAGACCCGGTTTCGGATCCCGAAAACTTTTCATATACTGTCCACTTTTAGAATAACATAATGAAGCAAGAAGAACTTGAAATTCAACAAAACCAAACTGAGGGATGCTTGTGTGAAGATTTAAACGAACAAGGTTTTTAATTTTTAAGTAAATGATAATAACATATCATCAATTTAGAATTGTATGTATAATGTAATAAATTATTTCGATTTGCAGAATCAATAACATCTGAAAGTCACAAAATCACTAAACTTAAAACTGTTTGGCAAGAAAAAATGATGACTTTTGAAAAATCAAAAAAAGAACTTGAAGATCGTCAGGTGTGTCTTGTGCGATTGTTATTCGATAAACTTCTTGTGGCTTTAATGTGGAAATTTAAAAGAAAATCAAATTTTTGTAAAGGCCATATTCGTTCCTATGTTTTTTAAGAACTGCAATCTTATATTTCAATGAGAGTAACGAAATTCGCCCTACAATGTCTAGCGATATTTAGCTACAAAAGCAAAGAAACAAACCAACAAACTATATATTTTATTATTATTAACACGCTTTTATTAACTTGGCCTGTAGCACTGTAACGGATTCTTTCAAAATATATAAAGTAACTTACAAAAACTTCAAGACTATCTTAAAAAAAATTACACGTATTAATAAATAACCAAATAGCAAAAGAATAATTTTAATATTTTTGGTTTGATTAATGTCTGTTGTTTTTATTTATTTTTTAAGCTATGCGATGCGACAGAATTCCCGACACCTAATTTCAGACCATTGTATACTGGTTGACTTGTTGTAAATCCCCTGGGGCCAGAAGTACCGCCTCGCTTATTTATTCTACTAGAACTCATGTATTCCAGTTTAAAGAGCACCTCAGTATCAAAGTGGTTAAATTGTCTATGGGTTCTCGTAGTGGCTAAATAGTAGATAGTGTAAAAATAACGGTGCGATGTACGAATTATAATTTTTTTTATGTAATTTCAAACAATATTAATTTCAATATTTTTGACAATAGGATAACGCGTGCGAAATAATACGATTTTCTTTTAACTACAACAAAATGTTTTGTTACCATTTCACAGAACCAAGTAATGGAATTGTACGCGTCTTTGCGAAATACTCACCGTAAGATGAAATTATTAGGTCAGAAAGTTAATTTACCGTCAGCAGAAGAGCTACATATCATGAACGTTGCCAAATTAAGTCCAGAACAATTGTTACAGCTGTGCGCTGGAGGCGAACCCAAGGCACTAGAGCACAGTACGCTAGGTATATTGTCTATTTTGACTCTTAAAACAATCTAATATTCATTAGATTTTATACCTACTGTCTGTAAAATGAAACTTTTTTTTATTAACTCTATCGAGAATCTCTGAAAATTTTACTGTTACGATAATGTTGTTTCAGATAACAAAGTAACATTTGATGTGAATAAATTACTTAATATACCCAACAGTCTGGTTGATAAATGTGAAGAAACATTGTTTAAAAGAAAAGAGATTATTAATTGGTTCGAATCTCTGATGTCACAGGAAAAGGTTACTGTTTTTAACTCATCGTCAATACATATAACGTAATCAAACAATAGGATCCAATTTGTCTGTAAATTGAAGAAAAGTAATAAAAACAGAAAAGGGCTAACTACACTAAAAAGTGAATAATAGAATATACAAACGATTTTAGAATTACTTTCCCCGTTTACTTATATGTTCGATCATATCTCGGAAGCTTCGGTACGGATTTTCGTGTAGCTTTCATTAGTAGTCGTAGATTAAAGAAGAATGTATATAGGCGATCTGTTTTTTCACTGCTAAAGACATCGCGACAAAAAGTGTATACCTATCACGCGGGCCGAAAGCTTTACTAGCTTATGCCTAAGCCTATGACTATGCCTTGCTTACAAACAAAATTATTATTTAAAATAAATTTTAAATTTAACACTTTATCATCTTAGGGAATAAGTACGAAGACTCTTACCATGAAAATTAAAGAATTTAATGCAGAAAATGATTTGTTAAAATCTTCCTTGGACCAGCTAAGAACAGACTTTTTAAAAGAAATAAACGACATCATCGATTGTTTAAGGTATTTTGAAGCTTTCATTATGATTTGAAGTCGTCGTGGCCTAAAAGATAAGACGTCCGGTGCATTCGTATCAAGCGGTGCAACGGTGTTCGAATCCCGCAGGCGGGTACCAATTGTTCTAATGAAATACGTACACAACAAATGTTCACGATTGACTTCCACGGTGAAGGAATAACATCGTGTAATAAAAATCAAACCCGCAAAATTATAATTTGCGTAATTACTGGTGGTAAGACCTCTTGTGAGTCCGCACGGGTAGGTACCACCACCCTGCCTATTTCTGCTGTGAAGCAGTAATGCGTTTCGGTTTGAAGGGTGGGGCAGTCGTCGTAACTATACTGTGAGACCTTAGAACTTATATCTCAAGGTGGGTGGCGCATTTACGTCGTAGATGTCTATGGGCTCCAGTTACCACTTAACGCCAGGTGGGCTGTGAGCTCGTCCACCAACCTAAGCAATAAAAAAAAAACATTCTTCATTTTGGGAGTAATACAATATATTCTCTCTTATTATTAATATCTTCTCTCTAGGACACATAGGCTGGAACATTAACGCTCTAAAATCAACGGTCCTAAACCTGGTCTTTCTCTTAGGCATTTCATTATTTTAGAGTCCTATGACTATTAGAGTATATGGTCTAAAATTTAGTCTAAAATTTAGACCATATACCAAATTTTTCAAGTTTCTTTTATCTAATTTCACTAAATAATGAAATGTATGCAACAAACAATCTTGTTTTATATAAGTTTTCTTTTTTACATCAATAAATATATTTTTCTCCTACCTACGCCGAAAGTTCGGTTTTCCTCCCGCTGTACAGGGAAGAAGGAAGAAAGTGCAACTTTTCCTCCCTGGGTACTGACAAGTGCGCATGCGCGTTAGTGTCTACGTCTGCTCTCACGCACCTAAAATTCTCTGCCATTGTTGTGCTCGGGTAATTTGCAATATAGTGTTTAGTGTAAAAGTGAAATAAACAAAAGGCAATAAAATTTCATAGTGAAGTATTAAAAAAAGATGAGTTCATCGGACAGTTCTTATTCATTTAGTAGTAGTTTACTTAAAAATTAAAAAACATGTAATTGTTTTTTTGAGTATGGGGGGCTCCGCCGCCCCTACGCCCCGCAGGGCTTCGCCCCTGAGCCCCGGCACGGTACTCCACGAACTTTCGGCCTGGTAGGAGAAAAAATAGTATGTGAACCGCGGGAAAAAATTAGGACATCTCATCCCGCGTGTTTGCAACCCTCGCCTTCGGCTCTGGTGGCAATTTTACACGAGAAGGGAAATGTCCTACTTTTCTCCCTTGGTGCACAATGTACTATTCTACATTCTAGATGTGAATTTTGATTTTGATTTTACTAACTACGTATTCAGAAAAAACGCTAACGAAACAATGGCCCTTCAATTACGGACGAAGGAATTGTCATGTGCTCTATCCGACTTGAACACTCAAAACGCAGAAATGAGGAAACAAATACATAGCGGCGATCATCATAGACCGTATGTTAATAGAAACAAAATTGAGGTATACATTTATAAATACTTATATTATAAAAACTTGTAAAATTGCTTTATATTTATTATTCGGAAATACACATAGAACGTGAAACAATATTTGTATCTAATTTTGGTAGGAACTAGAGAAAGAATTGAAAGAGGAGAAATATAAGAAATCGATTATGAAGGACCGTTTATCTAGGACTGAACATCAGTTAAAAACAAATGTGGAACGTGTCGTTCAATTAGAAGCGGCTCTAGAACAAGCTCGTTCTGAGTCTTGGAGTCTTGAACGTACGGTTCAACAGCAACATCAGCAGGTAGAATCTTTAGTCATTGAGCATGTTTAAGGTAAGAGAGAAAGCGAATAACTCATTAGCAACTGTGACATGTCCTTCTCCAAACGAGGCTTGTGGAGAGTATTAAGCGGTAGGCAGCGGCTTGGCTCTGCGCCTGGCATTGCTGAAGTCCATGGGCGACGGTAACCACTCACCATCTGGTGGGCCGTAAAAACTGTTGTTATTGGCAGACTAACGGTCTGAATTTTGTACTTTTTTGTTGCATAAGATTAGCACACAAGCTCATGATGGAACAGTTGTTTAACTTGCACCCTGTAATGTCGCCACGTAAATGCCAGCCATGAAACGCCAGGCAAAATCACAGTACTGCATCGCATCTATTCTACTTAATTAAGAACGCACAAATGTTTTGCATCAGAAATTGTTAGTTTGATTGTGCCAAACTAATAAGTTCTACCACCCGTACAACCAGCAAGAAATTAAGGGCGAAGGACAAGAATAGTTTTAGAATTAAATAATAATGTAAATGTAATATGAGGATAGGACGCTGATTCTATGGATGATTTAAGGGCATTGCGAAGCCTTATCCCTTAATCTTAGATCTTATACCAATATGTAGGACTTTTCAGTAGTGTGTCTTATTTAAGAAGGTCACGACGGTCTTGGCCTATTAACATCTCCATATGTTGATTAACTTAATTGAATAATGTTTCAGAATCAGAAGCTGCAAGAAGACTTTGATCAAGAATTGAACAAACTAACGCAATCCATTAAGGATAACACCACGCATTTGGAAGATATAGCTCTAGCACGAGAGAAATTACAATCAGAGTAAGATCTGCTACTAGCATTCACTTTTAAAAATTTAAGTCAAACAAAACAAAACAAATCTAGTCAGTTAACGTATTCCCATTATTAGGAAAGAAGAAGTAGAAAAACGTCTTGAAGAATTGTCAGCGTCGTATAACAAATCTATAAAAGACATGAAGCATGAAATGAATCTGAACATCGCAAAACTTATAGAGATTGAAAAAAAATACAATGATTCCATTGAAGAGAAAAAGACTTTGCAAGAAAATATCGATGATTTGCGCACTGATCTTCTTGAGTCTGAATTGCGTGTTAAAGATTTAGTCAGAGAATTAGACGAAAAGGAATCCATTTTAGGTAAAGACTTGTTTTAGTTAATTTTATTGACTTCTATCATATTATGTACCGTTTCTATGTCAAATACAGAAACTAAGCAGTGTGTCCAGAAAGAGCTAGAATCAACCAAAACTGATCTGAAGCATCGAAAAACAGAAATAGAAGAATTCAAACGCCTTCTTTTTGAAAAAGATGAAGAAATTGACGAATTGAAGGTATGTTTCTTATAAAAAAAATCCAATACTTAGTCTAACCGAACTTAGTGCGAGCGAAATCCCGGAAGTAATTATCAAAAACCTTTTTTTTTTGGCCGAACCCCATACTAGGTCCTCGTGCCTAGGGGGCGCGCGGAATATGTGGGATTGGTCCACAGATGTGCGACCTGGTGTCTCAAGAATGGCCGAATTTACGTTGATAATATCCATAGCCTAAGATAAATACTAATAGACGAGTTTTTTTTTTTATAACAGTTAAGAGGCAAACGAGTTTAACAATGAGCTCATAAATANTTTTTTTTTTTATAACAGTTAAGAGGCAAACGAGTTTAACAATGAGCTCATAAATATGCAATTGCAATAGCAAAAATATATTTTTTACAGTCGAAACTTAGCACAGAAAAAGCGATAAAAGATATTTTAGAAAAAAAGGACGAACTGCTTGCTGAACAAAAAGAAAAACAACAAGAGCTAAAAGAAAAGTTAAAAGAAAGGTCAGTTCATTATAGCAATAAGTAAATAGACAAAGAAGACCATTGTTCACATAATATACAGGACAAAACAATCTCAAGCATTAACATGTAATTTTTTTTAATGTGCACCGTACAATTTTTTCTGTTCATCGGATATAAGGCAAATCGTATTTGATCAGTTATACGAGATTAATTAATAAAATAAATCACTATCTAGTTACCAAAAATCAAGTGACAAGTGGTGGCGATGATGCGTGTGTCGCTTTTTTTTATAACCTTGATGGATGGACGAGCTCACGGCCCACCTGGTGATAAGTGGCAACCGCAGCCACTACAATGTAAATGCCGCCACCCACCTCGAGACATGAGTTTTAAGGTCCCAGTTTTAACAGTACAGCGGCTGCCCCACCCTTTCGACCGAAAAGCATTACTGCCTCACGGCAGAAATAGGCGGGGTAGTGGTACCTATCCGTGCGGACTCATAAGAGGTCCTACGCAAATTATAATTTTTCGGGTTTATTTTTGATTACACGATGTTATTCCTTCACCGTGAAAGTCAATCGTGAACAATTGTTAAATAGGTTCGTAGTTCATTAGAAAAATAGGTACCCGCCTCCAAGATTCGAACATCGTTGCATCGCTCGACACGAATGCACCGGGCGTCTTATTCTATATGCCACGACGACTACAAAACTCCCTCGCTTGGAGGGATACAGTAATATGTTTAGGGAAATAAATATATTGATTACTATAATTTTTTTAGGGAATCGCAAATGAAATCATACTACGAAGAGCTAATGAACCTCAAAAATCAAATAACTCAGTTGCGGGAGTTTGGTGCATTTGATAATTTAAATGATGTTTGTAACATGGTGAGTCTGGTTGTGTTGGAAACAAAAAAAAATCCAATGGCATGAGAAGCTCTATGGTATTCATTTGTGTTACAGATTAATCAACAAAGAGACAAGTTGTTTGAGCTAACTAAACAGCAAGAAGAATACGACGAAAAGCTGCAGACAAAAGAAAACGAAGTTAAAAGGCTTGTAGAGAGCATGACTGAACAAGAACACGTATTGAATAAAAAAGAGGAAGTAATCAAAATGTTAAATGAAAAGGAAGAAGAACATATGAACATAATAAATCTTCTCCATAACAAGCTAGAATTGAGAAATGAGACTGATATTGATGTAATTATTACGTTAGCTAAGTATAAAAAGCCGTTAACCGTGGGCTTAGAAAAAATGTCAATCTCCAATAGGGTGTTGAAATGTAGTTTGCTCGGAGTGGTGACACAGAGAAGCACTTTGAGGAAAAATATGAGAGGTCTATTTCCAGCGGGGACTACTATAATCTATTCGATATTTATTGAAAGTCTGGCCTTGGTTCGAGGTTCTTATTGATGATAAAATTTATTTTTAGCTTAAGTAAACATGATTCAGTTACATAACTAATAAATAGGTATAAGATTGAGCACGTATCATTGTTGTGAGCTTTACAAAACTAGTAAATTAATTGATATTTTGCTTAATCCCGTGTACTCACAATCGACAGCCTGTTAGCGATATGCCTACCAAATTAATGTTTGCACGGTTGATATTTTGGTATAAAATATTTATTTTTTCTGCCAACTACAACAATTAACGACAGAATTGCTCTTTTTACATTTTAGCATCGTCATCAACTAATAGAAAAATCTGCCGAAATAAATACTTTGATAAATAGTGTTGAGTCAAGAAAAAAACATATAATAGAACTTGAAAATATTATTTTGGCTCAAGAAGAACAAATAAGGAAAGCATCACTGCGCAGAAAAAAGGATCAAGACAAAATTAATATGTTTGAGAAGAGGATTGCCGATTTAGAATCACGGCAAACAGAAATGAATTTTAATAATCAGGAAACTCCGGAAAATTTGGATAATTTGATTAAAATTCTTGAAGATGAACTAGACACTCCATTTGCTACTAATGTTGAAGTGAATTCAAAACTAGGTGTAAATCATTTTACAACACAATCGAAAAACTACAAAAAAAATAAAAGCAATCGTCAAACATCGACCGACTTAGAAAAAAATGATTTTGCGCCCGTAAAAATTGTTATGGGCAGTTCCAATAAAAACACTCGTAGGCCAAACGGGATTGAGTATTTTAAAGGGGACCATTTTCTTTTGAAGAAGGCTATACGAAGTACTAACAATCGCGAATGGATCGGACCTAATGACGCTAGTGTTTGTTCTACTTCTACGACCGCAACGATGAATACATCATTAAAAGGCCTACCTTACTCGACGAAAGAAAACTTGCCAATAAATCATCTAACGTCACGGCCATGTACCGATGAGATAAGAAGTAAGATGTTTAAATTTGCTGGACACAGAATATAGTTTTAAAACTATATTCTGTGTCCATTTATGTGTATTATGTCCATTTATTAATAAAACTTCGAACAGCAATCGTAAATAAAAAAGTTTTGTTTATAAGATTTTTATTTTTAAGAAATTGTAAAGTTGACATGATATTTCATTAAATGTGGCTTGTACAATAAACACCTGTTTCACTAGTACTTCCTTTATAAACACTTGTTTCACTAGTACTTCCTTTGCTTATTTCCAAAAAAATCTGAATCCTGAAATCACACAATCTATGGCAGTGGTCGACAATCCTCGGCCACACAACTTTAACGCGATTTATGTTTAATTATCTTGCCTACCACCTGTCTATGGTACGCAGACGTGCACAGGCTGCCTAATGTTGAGACATGAAATTTAATTCTTTTTTAAATCAAAATATTGATTATTCTACCCTTTAAAATAACGGGTACTCTGTAATCTACCCCAAAGTTGTAACTGTTCTTTTTAGGTTCAATATTTGAGCTTAGAATCCGTACTGTAAACACAAAAAGTTATCAATACCNGCCTACCACCTGTCTATGGTACGCAGACGTGCACAGGCTGCCTAATGTTGAGACATGAAATTTAATTCTTTTTTAAATCAAAATATTGATTATTCTACCCTTTAAAATAACGGGTACTCTGTAATCTACCCCAAAGTTGTAACTGTTCTTTTTAGGTTCAATATTTGAGCTTAGAATCCGTACTGTAAACACAAAAAGTTATCAATACCAAACTTGGGTTCCCGCACATCACAACAGAATTTGCCGATGTGGAATGGTTCGCTCGTAATAATTCTCTTTCGAGTATAGCCTTGCGTCGCTCAAGCTGCGTCCGAACAAGCCCTTCTCTCTCCAACTGCAAACTTTGAGCAAGTACCGCACTCTCTAGTCTTAGTACCCGAGCTCTCTCAGCCCGTAAAGCTGTCCACGTGTCTGCCGCTGTTGCACATACGGACGTCAACGATCGGGACATCTGTTAAAATTGAATATATCAGTTTTATAAAAGCCCTAGCTTTTGCCCCCGACTCCGTCCGCGTGGAATAGTTACTTTGGCATAACGCTAAATTTTACCCCCACTTAATTTACCTAAAAAGTGAATATATTTTGAAACTTTATCGGTGCTCCACTTGTGTTGGGCTTACCGTGATGTTATATAACTTATAGCCTTCCTCAATAAATGAGCTATCTAACACTGAAAGAATTCAAATCGGACCCGTAGTTCCTGAGATTAGCGCGTTCAAACAAACAAACTCTTCAGCTTTATAATATTAGTATAGATTTTTTCGCGAGGAGATAGAACATTTTTGTGTTAAATTAAACACCTCTGCGTGTGCGATATCTTCGAAGGGCGGTGGGTCTATCCGTCCGTCCAGTAAAGCGGCGAGATCTTTCCGCGCCCGCACCATGCGAGCGAATAGATCAGCAGCTCTCTCATGACGTTCAAGCATCAATGCTCGAGAAGCTGCAGCAGTAATTAACGCTGTCCTTTCTCTAGATAACGTTTCGACTTGCAAATGTAAATCCAATATCTGTAAACAAATATCTGTAAGTACTGTTATACTTTTATCACTAAACTTTTTTTTTATTGGCCTTGTAGGCAGTCGAGCTTACAGCCCACCTGATGGTGAGTGGTTACCATCGCCCATGGACTTCAGCAATGCCAGGGGCAGAGCCAAGCCGCTACCTACCGTTGTATACTCTCCACAAGCCTCGCCACAAACTAGTCAAATCCGACCCGCTTTTCTCGCCTATCTTTGATTTGTATTTGAACCGATCACTACCAAACTTCACGGATCAACCGCTGACCAACCTAATTAATGATTAATTTCTGGAAACTATGTAGAATAAAATATATTTTCGTACTGAAAACAATACCTCTGTTTGTAATTCCGGATATGATACATCTTTAGAGTAACAGTCATAATTTCTCAATCGTTTCACTTCAAGACGTAAAGCTGCCAGTTGATTTTCATATTGTGTCATAGTCTGTTCCCTAAAAAGAGTTTACATTAACACTGATTATGGCAAATTAACCACCGAATATTATTCAGCACTGTAAAACTTTAGTTTTTATTTATTTATTGCTTAGATGGGTGGACGAACTCGCAGCCCACCTGGTGTTAAGTGGTTACTGGAGCCCATAGACATCTACAACGTAAAATGCGCCATCCACCTTGAGATATAAATTCTAAGGTCTCAGTATAGTTACAACGGCTGCCCCACCCTTCAAACCGAAACGCATTACTGCTTCACGGCAGCAATAGGCAGGGCGGTGGTACCTACCCGTGTGGACTCACAAGAGGTCCTACCACCAGTAAATATAACTAATAACTAACATTGATTTCTCGTTTTCTCGTTGCTCATCAATAGTTTGCTGCAGTTTAACAATCTTTTGTTCTCGATCAAGCAACTCTGTCGCCATTTTATCTTGAAAACTCTCAGTTCCTTCACCTTGCTATAAATAAGCGCACAGTTGAAATCTCGTCCTGGGGACCAATTTTTTTTCTCCTACCTACGCCGAAAGTTCGGTTTTCCTCCCGCTGTACAGGGAAGGGAGTGTAACTTTTCCTCCCGCTGTACAGGGAAGGGAGTGTAACTTTTCCTCCCGCTGTACAGGGAAGGGAGTGTAACTTTCCCTCCCTGGGTACAAGTGCGCATGCGCGTTAGTGTCTACGTCTGCTCTCACGCACCTAGAATTCTCCGCCATTGTTGTGCTCGGGTAATTTGCAATATTGTGTTTAGTGTAAAAGTGATATAAACAAAAGGCAATAAAATTTAATAGCGAAGTATTAAACAAAGATGAGTTCATCAGACAGTTCTTATTCAATTAGTAGTAGTTTATTTAAAAATAAAAAAACAGTTAATTTGTTTTTTTACGCGTATGGGGGGGGGGGCTCCGCTCGGTACTCCATTAACTTTCGGCCTGGTAGGAGAAAAAATAGCATATGCACCGCGGGAAAAAAGTAGGACATCTCATCCCGCGTGTTTGCCATTTTGCAATTTTACATTGCGGGAGGAAATTTCCTACTTTTCTCCCTTGGTGCACAATGTACTATTTAATCCTCGAATAAAAGTTGCATGTTACCGCTATTCTGGACAGTGAATTCAAAAAACTATCTTTCTCGGCGCGACTCTGACGTAACTCCTCTTCAGACCGAAGCAATGCTCCTCGAGTCATTTGCAGCTCTTTCCAAATTTCAGTCTCTCTGTCCGTAGGTTCGTTTTCTACACAAAGATAACAAATAAATTCGGCACATTCAGCATCAATCAGCATAACTACCATACATAATTATTTCTAGAAAAGTAATAAAATAAAGTTACCTTTACACGGAACGTACTCCAGGCAACGCCGACGCTCCATATCCACTAGTCTGATCGATCGATCACGAAAAGATTGTAACTGACTTTCCAACTCTTTCACTTTCCCTTCAAGTTCAACAACCTTGGACTCGGCTACTGCTTTACTCTTCTCCTAAATGAGATGACTAATGAATATATTACAATGATAATNAAGTAATAAAATAAAGTTACCTTTACACGGAACGTACTCCAGGCAACGCCGACGCTCCATATCCACTAGTCTGATCGATCGATCACGAAAAGATTGTAACTGACTTTCCAACTCTTTCACTTTCCCTTCAAGTTCAACAACCTTGGACTCGGCTACTGCTTTACTCTTCTCCTAAATGAGATGACTAATGAATATATTACAATGATAATGACAACAAGATTGATAAATTTAAAAAATATGATGTTAAACTAGCTGACGTTATTGAAGATCTAATTATCTATATATGAATACGTGAAGCAAAAACTTTATACCCCTTTTTACGAATATTACGCCGACGGAGGAGTATGAAATTTGTCACACTTATAGAGAATATAGAGAAGGAGTGCAGAATGTTAAATTTTTTTTAAATTATACATAAGAAATACATTAAATCAATAAAAAACACATTACGCACACTACCATGTATTTGACGCACATACATGCATACTATTTGTTTATTGCCAAACTTTTCTTATTGCTTATAGTCTGTGGTCAAATCGAGAATAGAATAGAAAAGAGAAAAATATTGTTTGTCTTTATTAATATTGTCTAAAGTGTAGTCTTGGCGAAATCTGTGATTATAGAAGTATAATAGTCTTTGACAATAGAAACATAACAGTGTACAAACTTATAATTTCAATTAATTATAGTCGAATTTCGACTACCGTGGGGCCACTAGTAAGTATAGATCTGTGAAATATTTGAAACATCAAAGTGGCACCTGTTCTGCTACCTTCGCCTGAAGGAACTCGGTGCGAGCCTTCTGTTCTGACACACGTGACTGTGCGGCTTGTTCTGCCACTTCTGCTTGCTCGCGTAGTTCTTTAACCCTACAGAGCTCAAATTTACTAAGTATTTATGAGGCACAATACTACCACATCATTTTCGAATCATAGTCGAAATACCTAAGCTCAAGGGCATCTCGCTGTCGTGACAAAGTCTCTATTGTAATTTCGCCGGTTTTTGAGACTTCGAGGAGCTTTTTTGATCTGGCATCGTAACTGTTCTCGCGATGACGATACTGCAGAAGAAATCCCAATAAAGGAATAAAAAAGTATTCTTTTTCAACAATTTATTGATTTGTGTTGCTACAACACTGTCTATGAAGATACGACACGAGAGCTGTTTGAAAATCAGTGTGGGTATTTCAGACACAGCAATAGTAACAACGCAGTGTACTCGAGTATATGTTTCTATCCTGTAACCAACACAAATATCTGTGTTGCAAGAGGAATTTTCAAAAATAATAAATCAACTGTCGACTAGATGACTGAGTAACTCGTTATTAACAATCCGCTCTATGACTTCCAAAAAGCAAGGAAGTCATCGTCAAACGCCCTAAGCCGAAGGATCCCACTGGTATTCCTTCTTGCCTTTCGAGCATTAACTAAAATTATAATTATTTTTGTCTGATCGATTATAATTTTAGTAAAATCGTGAAATGACATCAAATAAAATGAGTCAGTCAAATACAATATTTTCAACATCTTGAATGAACTGGCTTACACATTGATGGAATTCGTGAAAACAAATATATTTTTTTAAATTTGCTTGACATACATCTTTCGATTGAGTCAAACTTTATTGTTAAGACTCCCAAAATGGCAATCGAGAAACTACATGAACGCATCAATTTTGTAAAATCGATCCATGACCGTCGTCGGATCGTAATGTAGTGTCACAACTTCACTGTCGCATGTGAACGTTCGATTGCGAGTCTGTTTACGAGTTGCTCGAGGTCTTTGTGCTTCTTCTTGGCGATTTCGAATTCGGCCTTCGTATCTTTGAGCTGCCTCTCCAGCGTCGCGATGCGGGCGCGCGCTACACGTAGCATGCTCTCCGCTGATGCCACTACCTCCTTCAGTGCTTCGCGCGCCGCTCGCTCTTTTGACAGTTCCTCGTTCAGCGCCTATTTTAAACAAACGAACATAAAATTATAAATTACTAGCTGTACCCGTCCGCTGCGCTGGTTATTTAAAATTAACATTATCATTTCTCACCCCTACAAAGATTCTCATCATTAACGCCCGCGCAACTGGTGTAGGGAGTCCAACACTCATATTAATATTAGCCTATCCATTAATTACATGTATTTTCTACATGGATATCAAGTTACAAGTCAATCGGATGCATGGTTCAGTAGTTATAACGGAACATCCGTAAAAACCACTGTAGTTTTTTAAATTAGTATAGATTTTGACGTCTCTCTATGATCTTGAAATTAAATCTTTCTATATGCGCATAGAATTATTTCGGTGCACTTAAAACCAAAACTATCGTAAACGCAGCTTTCACCTTAAGGAAAGCATTTAGTTCCTCAATAAAACCATTTTGAAATTAAACGAACCAAACCCCTCTGACCTGATAATTATAGGAACCAGACTGGACTGGATGACAAGGCGGTTCTTCGTTTTCTTTTTTAGAAGTTTCATCAACCTTGTGTTGAAGTATTGAATTTTCTTTTTGCAATCGTTCTATTTTCTTTATCATAGTGTCGCGATCCAACCACGGTATTCTATTTATGAAACATATTGTTAGTAGTGGTAGTTAAATGATGATATAATGCCGTTGGATCATATCGGATCAATTATATAAGGGATAAATTAAATGGAGACTGGTTATAGACCGCTATATTTTAATATTATCTGAAAGTCATACGTAACGTGTGTGTATAAATGCACATAATTTGCGGGCTACTAACAATCAATGTTTTTAAAATATAATACAATTATTCTAAATGGAGTGAGGGATATCTTTACCACTGCTTTTAAATTTCAAACTGCTTGCTACGTTTACCAGCGAGAGCATTTCTTTTTTAATAAAAAAGTTTTTTTTTTTATCGAGGTGATGTCCTTATAACACGAAATCAAATATATTATAGAATGCTATACATAGCAATAAGAATACTACTTCAGAAATATTTGTTTTTTTACAAAAGAGTTTTATTAAAGATAAGTTTTGAACCAACGTTAATAATGTCGAAAAAACATTTAGCTACTTCGTGGTAATATAAATAATTTTATTGATTATTATATGCCACGTTATACTAAATACAGTGAATATTTACTTGGCTATTTCCAGAGAAAAGTTAATTTTAGCTTTTAAATTTTCAGCAATCCCGGCAACCATTCGATGTAATCTCTCGGTGTCATTGTCGAATTCCGTATTTCTGGTTTTCCATTCCAAATTCTGTGCAACATATTCATTAAGTAATTTAATTTATTCAAAACTCATATCTAATGAAATAACGGAGGAAGGGATTTTAATTTTAATTACATACTGTTACTTTCGAAATGAAATTCAACTAAATAAATTAATATGCTCTTATTTGCTTTCAATTTTATCTACCTTATTCAATTTGAATAATATTTTGATACAGTTTTCCATAAATAAGAATGGTTAAGAATGAGCTACATCAGTTGGAATTATTAAATTTCGAGCTATTGGTTATGTTTACATACGTTGACAGGTTTAAATTAGCTAATTTACGATCTGAATAACACACTGACAAATTGTTTGTATTGGCATTGAAGCTAGACGAACATACAGCCCATCTGATGTTGAGTTGTAACCTTTACTTAATGGTCTGAGCAGTATTAGAAGCACAGTCAAGCCGCTGCTTACTCCTGAGTACACTCCGCTGATCTCTTTTCAAAAAAGGTATGTCATAGCGCTCAGAGAGCAGCGCGAAAAAAAAATCCTAAGCCGGACGCTACATGGAAATATAGTAAGAAACGTACGGAATGAACGCAGTAGTTCTAAGTAGTATGGATGGAATTTATTAGGGCGGCATACCCGATCCGGTGGACCGAATGGTAAACAGTCGACGTCGCCCTAAGCACGTCATTACGGATCCTCCCGATCCATTAACGGTGCTTTTAGGTACCTCAAGCACCGGTCACCATCCTCGCCGAACCCGTCGCTTACGACGAAGGGCTCGACGAGTAAATTAACCTATAGACACAGCCCACAGAGTTTCTCGCCGGATCTTCTCAGTGGGTCGCGATTCCGATCCGGTGGAAGACCCTACGAAGTACTGTTCTTGTTAGGGCCAGTGTTAAAAACACTCCCGGTTTGCGCCCCGTGAACTCACCTACTAGTTCGGTGAATCTACAATAACCTCTCGAGGTTACTAGAATAGGTAGAAAAAAAAACAAAAAACATTAGAGCGGCAGGCAGTGCGAAGATAAAAACGAAATAACCGAAGATCCCCCGTATACTCAACAGATTTTCAAAACGATGACAAAAGGATTATCAAAACCCTATTTACCATTTATTACTTTTAAAATAAACCTTCAAAAAGTTACCGTCGAAAACGTAGCACGATCACTTCGATGCTTCCCTCGGAGGAAGTTCAATAGCTCCAAACGTCTCGCCATCAGTTCCGCACCCATCCCTAAAACTTCTTCTGGTATCGGGTTCAACTGAGCCATGAGTTGTTGTAGCACATGCGTACCTAATTGAAATAGGGTAAAATATAGTTGAATTTAAGTTATATCTCAAGGTGGGTGGCGCATTTACGTCGTAGATGTCTATGGGCTCCAGTAACCACCTAGCACCAGGTAAGCTGTGAGATCGCCCACCCAAGTAAGCAATAAAAAAAAAAAAATTATGCACGAAAAAATCACCATTCAGAAATGAATCGCAATTTATTTATTGCAATACTTCGAAAATAACGCGCTCCATATCTAAAGCCTTGTAATAGAAATGATAAGGCTTATTATTTTGGTACCGAATACGCCGTTTATCTCAGAGTTCATCGGCATTTCGAGGTCGTCTCTGACGAGCAGCAGCAGATCATGCGCTGGCCACCCGCTCACCGACAGCACGCGGACTTCACCCAGCGTCTCCGCGGCGACACCAGCGCGACTCTCCATATCCCGCAGGATCGCGTAGTGCTCCAACAGAGAGTTCTAAAGAAGATGTACTAAATTCAACCGAAATCTGACTTGAAGAATTATTCAAAGCATAGAGAGGTGTGTAATCGGTGAGACATTTAAAGTAGCTTTGAAAAAATGTTGTATCTATTTATTCAATAACCCTAACTCAAATATAAAATTCTAAAATACGTACTACATAAAACTGCCAGTAATCTGGTGGCAGGACCTCTTGTGAGTCCGCGCGGGTAGGTACCACCACCCTGCCTATTTCTGCCGTGAAGCAGTAATGCGTTTCGGTTTGAAGGGTGGGGGAGCAGTTGTAACTATACTTAAGACCTTAGAACTTATATCTCAAAGTGGTTGGCACATTTACGTTGTAGATGTCTATGGGCTCCAGTAATCACTTAACACCAGGTGGGCTCTGAGCTCGTCCACCCATATATGCAATAAAAAAATTATAAAAAAGGTAGCTTTGAAAAATTGTTGTATCTATTTATTCAATAACCCTAACTCAAATATAATACGTACTACATAAAACTGCCAGTAATCAAAATTATCTTTAAAATTTAAAAGCTTTACATGACCGAAATGTGTTAAATTATTCGTATCACGAAATAATTTGTTGATTAATACAAAATATTTTCTATAATAATTAACGTTTATAGCCATAGTTAAGTAAGGTATAAGTAAAAAAAAAACTGCAATATACAACTCACTTGCTGCGCTATTAAATTTTTTCGCATTTTGATAAATTCTCTTTTTTTAGTTGCGAGGGTTCTCATTATTTTCGACAGTACACATTGCGGCATCACCACTTCTTTATCTGCAAAATCTCAGAGCTTGATTAAGTGATTACCTTCCTAAGCTATAAATATATACATACATATATTGCTAAATTATAATAAATAATTTTTTTACTCTACATATTTGGACGAACTCATGACCTATAGTATTCAGTGGTTATCGATGTCCATAGATAAAACGTGGAATCGAAGACTTCATATTTTTGCATTAAGACTACCAAACCCTTCAAAGCGGAACGCATGAGTACTTAATTACAAAAAGATACATAACAGTCGATCATAGCAATGCAAGCCACATAATATGCAAGATAAGATAACAAACAGATGTAAGACATTACGCCTTAATTAATATTATAACGATCATTATCGATTTGTACTGCAATACACACCACAATTAGTTTTAGAAAATATATTACAAAGCCGGCATCGGAAGCACAGGTAAACACTTTTTTTTTTTATTGCTTAGATGGATGGACGAGCTCACAGCCCACCTGGTGTTAAGTGGTTACGGGAGCCCATAGACATCTACAATGTAAATGCGCCACCCACCTTGAGATATAAGTTCTAAGGTCTCAGGATATAGGTAGTTACAACGGCTACCGCACCCTTCAAACCGAAACGCATTACTGCTTCACGGCAGAAATAGGCGGAGTGGTGGTACCTACCCATGTGGACTCACAAGAGGTCCCTACCACCAGTGAAAAAAAAACTAACTCAATATCGCGAGTTAAATTCAATATAAGCGCTTGAATGCTTACATACATTTTGATAATAAAAATTACAAGTACAGTGTTGTTTATTTATCGAACCAACAAATGCAGTGAGTACTTTATTTTTAATATGCTAGTCGATTTTATTTTATATTTTTATATTTTTGTTTTTATTAAATGAAAATGTGTTCTAATTTTTCGATTATAAAATTCTCTTATAGACCTGCTTGCAGATGCTCCAACGAATAATTATCGAGAGGACGAGCAGCTTCTGGTGCAGAGACGCTGCCTTGAGTGAACGGTCGTTCCAAAACCTCCGGAGTAAATCTCTTCCTAGTAGGCTGTAAAACATCATTTCAACAAAAAAGCCACATAATAAGGGTCGTTTCTTTTACTTTTGCTTGTAAACGAACTAAAATACCGCTTAGCGTTAAATATCTTGAGCCTATAAACAACATAACGTATGATTATGTCGTCACCTATACTGAGCAATGAGGTAAATATTTCAGGTCCAACGGCTACCCCTCACCATCGAATCAGAAGGAACAGAGGCAATTTTGCCTATGTGGTGCACGGGATAGGCGCAGCGGTGTTAGGAGGCACTGGCCTCGGCACTTACAATAAATCTATTACATTTGTACCTATTCCATTATGACAGCGCGCTTATTATATACTTACTTACTAGGCGCTAGGGTAATGATTGAACGCGGCCGGTAGATGGGCTAGAGACGTTTTTTAGAACGATTGACTGTTAATAGCTAGCGCGCCATTAATAGCTAGGATGAAGGCTGAACCTATCTGCGCTAGTCTATGATACATCCGACAAATATGCGTTTTTTTTTAATTAATTAAACCCTTCATTATGGATTTCAGTTTTGAACATGTACTAAGTACGTATTTTCGTTAGTACGTAGAACATATTGGTATTGATCGTTTTTTTATTCCTACCTATGCTGATAGCCTTAAGAGACTATATCAACGTTACCCTAGCGTGTAGGTGAGCTCTCGGGGCTCAAACTGGAGGTGTTGCTAACACTAGCCCTAGCCAAAGCAGTGCTTCGCAAAATCTACCACTGAATCGGAAACGCGACCCACTGAGAACATCCGGCGAGAAACTCAGTGCACTGTATCTATGGGTTCATTTACTTACCGAGCCCTTCGTCGCAAGCGACGGATTCGACGAGGACGGTGACCGATGCTTGTGGTACCTAAAAGCACTGTTAATGGATCGGGAGGATCCGTAATGCCTTACCATTCGATCCACAGGATCGGGTATGTAATTTAGATACGAGTATTTCAGATACGTTCAGAGACGACAGATACCTTATTTAAAGAATACCTAAAACATATTTTTGTATATATTTTTTTAATATTTAATTTCCATACTTTTCTTATCATATTACAGTTTGCGATAGTTAGATTCCTTACACCAGTAACGGTATTATAACCATTATTACAGCCAAGCCGATACAATATATTAGCTTGAACTTACACTTAGCGGTGATAAGCTTTGACATCTTCTTTGATCAGGTTTTTTTCCAAGAACCGGATTCTACAAAAACATTAAAAAACGTAATTATCATACCATTCATCTTTAGGTACAATTAAGTTCATTTAAGTTGATACTGGTATATTCATATCATTATAATTATACTTTATGAAAATAATCTGATAGTTATTTTTCAATCGACTTAAAACAAACGAAACTCTATTAACCTGTGAATCATGACGCTTGC